ATTCTGTGCTTGAGTAAATTTTACATTTCTGATCCAAATTGTCTCCCATGTCTCCAGTAAGATCGGCTCTTCTATATTTTGAGCCCATTTTATCATACAATCCTTCACCAGTTCTGTTTCCGAATCCAATTCAACCAATACACCATAAATTCTTTTTATATGAGCTTGAGATTGGTCTCTAATCTGTTTGATCAAATTCCCATCCTGTACTGTAATACCAACTTTTTGATCCAAACTCCACCTCATAGACAATTGACTATAGTAAAACCATGAATATTCAATATTCTCTTGTTTCAGATCTCCCAGGGGTTTAAGTTGCCAACCTTGTCCTACCGATGAAAACTCATAAATGCTCCTCTCCACGGAAATCTTTAGTAAAAGGCGAAAGATTTATACGATCTGAAGAGAAACCAGATTGAAAGTTTTAATTGAGTCTAGTGAAGTCCCTTCAAGTATTGGGATCCCTGTTTCTCTTGAGGGATGCCTTTAGTTCTACAAGTTATTCTTGGAAAATAGCGAGCTATAGATACAATTGCATCTCATTTTTAGCAAAGGTTGCATTCTATGATCAGTCACTTTTGATGAAATAGGTCTGTAGAATTTACAATAGAGTTGTATTTATTTCAGGGTTCTTGAGATTTATTCGTTTATTATTTGTTCTTGTTGGTCCATGCTATTCCTGCTTCTGAAATATCGTGTTACCCCGAAAGTAAACCCTACTCCAAAAGTAAGCCCCAGCGGATTTTTTTGGGGGTGGGCCTAATATAAGCCCTACCCCGAAAGTAAGCCCTAGTGCGGTATGGGGCGAGTCGGCCCAGATTTTCCGTGCAACAGCCGGAGCTCCCCCCCCATTGCTGGCCTGCCAGGCAACCACCGGCCCTGCCCTCCCCGTCCCACCATCTGCTTGCCTGTGGCTGCAATGAACCAAACCCTCAATGAACCCCGGCCTCCGCCTGCCCTGCCTGCTGGCCCTACTACTGCTGGGACGTTTCTCAGCCGCGTCGGGTGCCATGTGGCAGTCAAGTGGCTGCCCTTGCTGCTTCTGGCCTCGCAGGGCTCTTTGCCCTCCTGGCTGCGCTGCTCTGGGCTGCCCTGCTGGGTTGCTCCTGCCTGGTGCGGGATGAGTCGGCCCAGATCCAGAGAACTGCCCTGCCACCGCCTTGCCAGATTTTGAGATCTCGCGAAAAGTTAGAAAGTCTGATTGAACTTTTTTTTTTTGGGTCCCACAAACATGCGGCGAAGGCTGAGAAGCGAACGGAGAAACGGAATGCAGCTGAAAGGCAGCTTAGTAAAAAAAATGCTTGGGGGAGGTGAGGGTATCTGGGTGGGTGGGGGTATGGCAACCTTACTCTGCACGGCTTTGGCAGGTGTCTGGCAGGTGGAAGGAAGCAACTCCCACCCCCCTGCCACCTGTTTTGTCTCCTCACCTCATGGCGGTGGCGGCAGTAGCCGGCCGGGCAGAAGGTGATCTGGTGGGAGCAGCTGGTAGAGGCCAAAAGCACCCAATTGGTATGAGAGCTGCAGCGCCCGCCAGGGCCCGAAGAGCGCCAGGTTCAGCCCTTAGTCCGGTGCCTGCAACACCAAGTAGGTGTGCAGGCTGATGCTCAGCAGCCCAAAGGTGGAGGCGTGGGCGACGCGGTTCTACCGGTGGGCGCTGGCAAAGGGCTCTGGCAGGCTGGTGGGGTGGCACTCTGGATCTGGATCGACTTGCTCCGCGCCAGGCTCAGCGCCCTTTCTGCCGCCGCCCACCACAGCCGCACCAGTATAATACCTGGTCCGCCACCACAGTCTCGCTGCGACATTGCTTCTCCAACCCATGCACAGGTCCCGTCCCCACACATTTGCGGCCTTCTGGTACCGGTACCGGCAAAAAGTAAGCCCTCCCCAAAAGTAAAACCTAGTGCTTACATCACAGCCCAAAAGAAACTAAGACCAGGTCTTACTTTCGGGGAAACACAGTACTACATCTGTTAGAGATTTTGTAGGAATCAGCCGAGGCGCTTATCCCAGTAACCCATTTTAATAAGAAGTTGAAGGAATTTGATGAAATTGACATTAATTATTTATGTGACCTTTGGGCTAATGAGCTCATATGTCCTATTCTTGTAAGTGAGTGAAGTCTCTAAAGAATGTAAAATTAAACTCTTTTGATCTTAAAAGGAGACTAACACAAGAGAAATTTTGATTCGTGTATAGTATATGCCTCAGAAAATGTTTACATTGTACTTGCAGTTAACTAGTCTTTGAAAATGCAATTCATGAATTGATCAATAAACTCATCATGAACTGAGTCTATATTTCAAGGATTTGGGGCTGAAATCCATAGGTTTGCTAAGGAGATAGGTAGAACTTGCTACGCTAATGTGTTGTCTTCCAGATAGGTCAGGTACCATTCCTGTCATTTTAAGTGTACCATTGGAGGAGCCATCTTACCCTAATGGGAGTTAACCTGCCCCACTAACTCCAGCAGAAGAGGCTTACTTTGGATGCCACCTACCAAAAGTTTTTGGCTGATGGGGTGCAGGAGAAGAGCCTTTCCTGCTTTGGCCCCCAAATCTCTGGAATATTCTCCCACTGGCATTGAGGTCCGCCCTCATACTCCTGGCCTTCTAGAAGAGCCTGAAAACCTCACTCTGCCAGCTGGCCTGGGGCCTTGCTATGTGGCTGATAGGATAGAAAGAAGAACTTCATCTCGATGTTCTCCATCATCTTGGTGTTTAGCTTCCTGTTTAATCCTCTTAATTTTAATAATTTTGTATTGTCTTTTTTTACCTTTTTATTATATTGTAAGCCACCCGGAGTCATTGCAACAGTGAGATAGCAGCATGAAAATTTAATAAATCAAATTAAAATAAATAATACTGTGTTACCTTGGGATTAATAGATGTTATCCAACATGCAGAGGGTGCTTGAAGTGATACTTCCTAACCAGAAACCATGCCTTGATTTTGAGCGTGGGTTCTTCTGCGAAGATCAAAATGGAGAAGGGGTTATTTATTTAACAATTTATATGGCCATCTGCTCACCAGGCAATATGTAAAGTGCTGGCCTTCTTCTTGCTATGAAGGAAAATGCTACAATGTGTGTTCGCCAAGAAGAATTTTGCTTCCAACCTTTGCTGATGTGTGACTTAATGGTGCTACTAGTTGTAGCATTGCGTCAAGTGAATTTTTCCTTACAAGAACTTTAGAATGGCCAGCTCAGGTAGGATCAATAGACTGTATTTGGAACTCGATCCAGATGTTTTCAGAGTTATAAAGGTCCCACTTAATCCATAGAATTTATAGATCTACTTTGTTGTACACAGGTGTCCTCGTCTAACAACTACTCATTCAGTAACTATTCAGTCTTATGATGGTGCTGAACAAGTGGTGGTTACAACCGGTCTCCATATTGTAACAGGATCCTACAGTTATCGTCGTGATTTGTGACTTTCCTTGTCAACTTCCCACAAGCAAAATCAGTGGAGAAGCTGGAGGAAGTCAAAAGTAGTAGTCAGGCTCTTGCTTGAAGACGTGTATGATTCTCATTTAATGACAGAAACTGGGACTGCTGTAACTGCCATTGCTGAACATCACACAGGTTTTCAAGTTACAACTGTGTTGCTTAATGAGAGAGTTTCTAGGCCCAATTACCATCATTAAACAAGGACTACATGCATGGTAAAACAAACAGCCAATGTGCAGCAAGTACATTTCAAAACAAAAGGAAGGTGACATACAACCCACAGGCTGCCTACACTCATAATTTCCCAGTAAATTTGCAATTGGTATGCTACACCTCCAGGAGTTACACTGCAGTTTCTCCAAATCCCCAAATAAAAAGAAGACCTACTCCCAGGTGCCATACATTGAGAACCTCATTGTATGAAGGCCATGTTCCTTGTGTCCCTCAGAGGTTCAGACTCCAGTTACAAAAATCATTGCCCAACTAGCATAATAATTGCATGGTTTCCTAAATCCAAGGGATTTTAGGAACCAGGTTGCTTAGTAGGGTGCTGAGTAATGACCATGAGAAACTACCTCCTGGGAATACAACTTCTTCTTCTTTTTTAAACAGAAATATTTTTTATTAGCTTATAGTGGAAAATGCGAAAATACAAAAGCAAATAGGGAACAAAGGTAAGGGGAAGGGAAAAAAAGAAATGTGGAAGAGCGGAGGGGAAAAGAAAAAAAAGCAATGACTTCTGACTTCCTCTATTGCAGTAAAATAAGGCATTAGCATCGAATGTCAACTTTTTACATTACTATAGCAGTATAAATTAGCCATTTCTGTAACAACAAATCAGTCTAATCAATAAAGCCCAAAATCAAAGTATCATTTTTTCCCCCACCTCAAGCACAAAGTCCAGAAGTGGTTTCCATCTAGCATAATGATTGGATGGTACAAAGGATTTTAGGAACCAGGTTGCTTAGGAGGCGCTGAGAAATGACCATGAGCAACTGCCTCCTGGGAATACAACTGAGTCTCTTTTCTGAGTCTCTTCATACTCTGAGTTATGTAAATAGTCCAGGGATCTTTTCTTGATACAGGTAGTTCTTGATTTACCACGGTCATTTAACTATTGTTCAAAGTTACGATGATGGCCTCGGAAAGGGTGCTTTATAGTCTGTAAAGCACTTCTGGCTATCGTAAAATGTTGCGCCGCATCCCCTCCAGGTCACATGACCACATTTTGGGTGGTTGGCCACTGGCTTGTGTTTATGACTGTTTTCAAGTGCCCCATGATCACTTGATTGCCATTTGCATTATTTTCTGCCTGCTTCCACAGAAAGTCAATGGGAAGATTGCAAGCAGAGGGGATTGAGGGGAGAGGAAATCCTTTGATGGGCTTCAGAAATGTTTGAGAGTAAAAGCTTTGCCTGTTGAAAGGATTTCACTTCCGTGTATAGCCAAAAATCCTTTGGCAGGCAGCTCTTTCTCTCTGACTGATTAATGACCTCAGAGATCACTTAACAACTGCAACCTCGAGTACCAGGTTTATAGTATTGAGTGAAGCAGTCCTGTGATCATCTCGCTTAATGACTGCTTCGCTCAACAACTGAGGTTCTGGTCCCAATTGTGATCATAAATTGAGGACTACTCATACTATTTTGGCTTTTGAAAGTTCACTATAGAAAGATATTTTAACCATACAGTGTTGTTGTATTTTTGTTTTGGTGTTTTTTAGCACCAAAGAGCTTTTTTGTTCTCCCAGTTTTACTGATTGTGATGATCGCTTTCATTCTGCCTTGTGTATTATTTTAATGCCTTTTTTTCCAAATAAAAATGGGCTAGTTGTAAAACATATTTTTATGTGCTTGTTATTTTCTAGTACAGTTTTTCTGTGTATCATGGCACACTATCTCGATCATTGCATCGAAGGCCTCAGTATAAATCTGAATAAAATCATACAAATTGCTACCATTTCATCCTTCAA